CCCCAAAACCCCAAAACCCCAAAACCCCAAAACCCCGATTTTATTCATACAGAATGAATATTAGAGAGAAATATTTTGCATTTTAGTTTACAATATTTCTTTCCAAAGAGAGATGATTATATTAGCATTAGTGAACTGTTCTGAACTTCAAAGGGTATTTGGGTGATTCAGGAAAGACCTCAGGCTATTCTTCAACTTTCCATCTTTTCTAGCCTTTCTGATCTATCTTTGAACAGCCTAATGAAATTGACTTGAACTCTCAAATTCGAGGATTGTTTCATTAGAACCCAATTTAAATCATGCATTTGATCGCTTAACTAGGCCTTTTACACCCTTATCCAGCTCCATAATCTCGCTATTGATCCTCTGGGAGCTTCTACACACGATTCCCTTATTTTTTTCTATCAAAAAGCGTGTTAGAAATTTCCTATTTTCCTAGTAAAAGGTGAAAATTACAAAACAAGTTATTTCTCACTTCTTTGACTTTTTCCCAATTCTTGAAGTAATGAGATTCTCGATCAAATCTTGGCTGTAACCTCACTCTGAGGCTTGGAAAGTGACCCGAAGTGGTTAACCTATGAGGCTCCATTAGGATTCCTTCCGATACCTGTCAGGCTGCACACTTTTTGGTTCAAAGGTCATCAACAATTATTTTACATACAATTTCAAGGTATATAGTGAGATTTAAAGCTTTTAGGAACAGGAAATTCCATGGTGGCTGTCCTGGTCCTGCCCAGCTTGAAATTTAGCAGACTTTCGTAAGTTTATTCAGATTTGCACTGATATTTGTGATATTTAGTATAAAAGCTCAAGTCTTATCTGATCACTGTTCCATGCTCTTTTGATAACTCTGGCATGTTTTTTGTCATAGTGTAGGACTAATACTTCTTTTGGGTCCCAAAAACGACCTGAATCATCATTCTTGCTAAGTTTGTTACAATTATGTATAAATTTTGTATTGGAAATTGCCGTAATGGTTGTAACAAAGCTGAAATCGGAAATCTGCATCAATAAGTCATCAGTTCCATACAAATGGTCTTGAAATACTACTCAGGGATCTCCAGCTCCTATTTGGTCACCACAAATCCTGCTGAGGATACTCTAAAACCTGGCATGCCTTGATGACAAGGACTAAAGAATGGCTATCTCTAATCCAATGGCATATTTAATTTTATTATTAACAGAAATTGCCCACCGCGCTGTAAGGGCAAGGGGTTTTGGGGTTTTGGGGTTTTGGGGTTTTGGGG